TATCAATTCAAAGATACCAAAATGACTTGATAGTAAAACATAAAAAAGAATTTAGCATCTGAAGACAAACAAATATAATTTTTTAATAAACCTGAAGTGATAAATGAAGTTACAGTCCTGGTAAATGGCTTGTGCAGCCCATGGACACTTTAAATAAAGAAAGCTACAGATGTATTGCCACCTCTGAGGACTAAGATGGTATATTTTTTTATAGGATAGGAGTGACAAACAAGCACACAGTCCACGTGATGGTAAGTAGTTGCTGTAACCCATAGACATCTACATCTATCCTCAATATAAAATCAAAATGCAGATGCGTTGTCATCCGTGAGGAGTAAGATGGAATGCCTCGTTTCCAGTAAAAAGGGTCTCCTGTACTCTACACTCACATTACAAAACACAGCAGTGTTAAGCTGCTATTTTACGCTGGTATTCTGTGAGAGCATGGTCCTTCCCCGGTCGAGCCAACCCATTCGTGCTACAACTATACTACCAATATAACTGCAGCATGGCTCTACCACATATAAAATGAATGCCCCATGCCCTGTAATTATACAGGCTGTCTATACTCTTCAGACTGCAACACACCAGAGTACGCACAGCTGTTTGGTGGCAGAAAGGTAAGGTGGTACCTAGCCCGGGGGACACCTACACAGAACAATGATTCCTACAACATAGTAAAGAGTGGCTGGGTTGGTACAACCTAGTTTCAAGCAGCAGTGTACCAGTGTAGTTTCTGTTTGAGCCAGTATATCAGACTACGAGACATTTTTAAATTCCATTTTGTTTTGAATCTACCTGCATGTTATAATTTTTAGTTTAGCTTGAAAAGATTCTAAATATTATTTCTTAAGAAATGTTATAAAAGAGGTTATTTATTTTTAAAAGGTTACCCCCACACTAGGATTTCCTCCTGTATCGTGGAGGCAGTTTACAAACATATATTGCACAAGGACAAACATCCAGACCCGGAATAATTATTTGTAGGCCATACAAATACTTGTTCCGTGCAGGATTCCAACCCACGGCTCCAAGCGTTGCAACTCATTGCTAAGCCATTACGCCACGGAGCCGTCAAAATTAAATTTAGTTTAATTTAATTAAAGAGGCTATTAGGTTATTATCTAATTCCCAGAGTGGAAGGCGCAGGCAGCCGTGGCAGTTTATACTAGTACAGCTGCCGACGTTAACCTCTCAGTGTAATTGATGGTACTATTTATTTAAATAGTGTAATTCACAATGTAAAATTTGTGGAGTGAATAAACAAATATATATTAAATATTATATTAAATATTTAGGTTTAATCCTCAGAGGTATCAATACTCTTAAGTTAATCATTGTGGTATCTTAAAAATTATTTACAATTTTGTACACACTAAACACAATTAAAAATTAATGAATTTTTAACATATACTGTCATAATCTTTTACTGCGGACCACTTACTACAAATACTATTTGAAAAACATATAAGATTACTCTATTAATTAGTCTAGAGCACAATTAGGAATTGCTGCTCTCCAGTCTAGTTTTATTTCTCTCAGATTTTCTCAATGCCTGGCATGGTAACCATAATTTCATTACAAGGACATTATTTGTGAATATTACTTAATTTCGTAGATACAATAATACATAAACAATTTCTAACTGCTATACACACAAGAAAATACACTACTTTAATTAAAATTTATATACACTAAGCAGATTCTCAGAAAAACGGAACCAACAAAGTGTGATGCAGAATAAAACGAAATACACACTAGAATAAAACAATTCATCACATTTTATAGATTTCTTGATCTGCTTTTCGGTGATAACGCTGTTAACCTTGCAGAAGATAAACATTCTTCAATTCCCATCACTTGTCTCCAGCGCAGCTCCACCACAGATTAGAGATTTGACGACTATATCATGCAGTTAAGAGTTCTCAGACCCATGCTCTCAAAACAGTTTTATCAACATTGTTAATTGTTTTTCATTATTATTCATATTTATCAACTAATGTGAAAATCTGTAATATAAACAAACTGTCATTAAAACTAGTCTAATGTCACCTGATTTTAAGCATAAACAGCTGGACTTGGGCCTTAATTTTATGAATTTAATGTAATGAATGCTTCGGCCAAAAACATTGTTGATTGCACACCAGTCTAGATATTCTCATGTCATCTTATAAGACAGTTATTATATGTGTAGGTGAGCCTCGCTATTGTGGAAAAAGTTGTTACAGCCATATATAATATGTAAAAGATATTTAGTGCAAGTTTGATTAACCACACAATAGCACTACCCTATATTGTCCTGTGGAAGTTGTATGAGGTGACAGTGGGAAACAAAACAAGAGATGGGCAGCAGCTTCCTTCAACAGAAAAGTTACAACAAAAAAACTGCCATTGCCAACCTGCTCGAAAAGTGTGTCAATTATGGCAATCATATATATTTTGTCCTTCTTGCATCTGCTGATGCAGAATCTCAAGTTTTTATACAATATAGTTAGTTTTAATTACATTAATAAATAAAAGGGATATTTTTTTAATGAACAGCAGTGATAAAATGGCACATAGTCCACCTGATGGAACCACAAACCATCAGGTGGCCCATAGAACTTTACATCTATTATTGTCTAAACAAAATGCAGATGAATTGTCACCTCGAGGACTAAGAACAAATGCCTCACTAACAGTAAAATGATCTAAGGGTCTCTAACACTTACTATACAAAACATAGCAGCATTAACTTAACCCAATCAAGCCAACCAATTCATACTGCAGCCATGTATATGTATGGAAGCAGCATAGCACTGCCATGTAAAAACCATATGATTATATATTTAATAACTTCTTTTTAAATTCAATCAAGTTTATAGACAATGAAATGTTTTGTATGAAAATGTATAAATTTGTGCATGGGATCAAAAGACATATGCACAGGGTCATTGCCAATTTCTTGTCAGAACTTTTACCATATTTGTATCCATAAAACCTCTGCATTGACTCTTGTGGATGTGGATGTCTAAATCAATTCAGAAGTTCTATAATTATGGATGTGGTAAATATCTGCAATATCCCTTGATTGCAATTCACATAGCATAGTTCCCTTTATTCACAATTTTCCTTTTTTAAGCTTTTCGACCGACAAAAAATTTAAAAAGGAGACAGTACTCAATTTGACTGTATGTTTTTTTATGTGTGTTATCTCATAACTTTTTAGTAGGTGGACCAATTTTGATCATTCATTTTTTATTTGAAGGCTAGTGCTTCACATGTGGTCCCATATAAATTTGATCAAGGTCTGACCAATAGTTTTTGAGTTATTCTTAATAATTTATATTGAAGTCAGTTGGATAAAATTTAAAATGTTATATATTTATGTTTTAGTTGTCTACTTATTACCTATAATTATGATATAGCTTGTTTGCATGTTTCTTTCAATGATTATATGTTTTCTTTTATTACAATTTGTAAAGTGTATATCTCGTTGGTGCCTAATGCCTATACAAACAAATAAATAGTAAATATCCCCAACATTTATTGTAGTTGGATGTTTAATAAGCGGGTTGACAACCAGTTGGTTTTAATTATTGATTATTACATCTTCCTGTCGCTGCTCTATTGATATTTTTCATTTTGATTAAAAAAAAAGCTTTTTTTCAGGATATAAAGTTAAAATTACTTATAACATGATGCGTGATCCACAAGAGAAGTGGTGCAAAACTGTTACTGACTGGTATCCCAGAGATGGCAGGAGAAGTAGAGAATGCCAACAAACAAGATGGGAAGACGGCTTAAAACTAACGGCTGGACATCATTGGAGAAGGGTAGCGCGGAACAGATCCCAGTGGAAAATGTTAGAGGAGGTCTATGCCAAAAGGCAAACTGAGCTTCGGGACATATTATAACAAACAAGAAGATGTCTAGTATTCATATTTAACAGAGAAGTTCAGAATAAAAAGGCTTATTATTATTATTATTATTATAACCAAGGTTAGACGTCAGATATTACATATCATATGTGACTACTGTAAGGCTCGCTCTTTCTTTTTTATTGATTTGTTATGTACCAAGATGCTACTACCCATCTCCTTATTCAATTTGCCGTCTCTTCTTAGAGCACTGACAGTATGATATAGGATGGTGGTATGTCTTACACCATCACTAAACAGTATTAAACTCGCATATATGATAAAAACTCACTCATCATCATCATCGTTACAGCCCTTCACAAGTCCACTGCTGAATACATAGGCCTCCCCCAAGGAATACCACAAAACATGGTGCATGGCCATATAGCTCAAAGAACTGACAACCGATGGGGAAAAATGTTCTCGAGTGGCGGCCTCATACCGGCGGACAAAGTGTAGGGTGTCGCGCCACTAAGTGGAATGACAACCTGGTAAGACATGCAGGAAGTCAATGGATGCAGGTGGCTTAGGACCGTGCTTTGTGGTGTTCCTTGGGGGAGGCCTAAAAATTCAGGCATATTGATATGAAAATTTTTGTCACCAATTACTGGCCTCATCTGCACATGAAGCTATACAATGAGTCTCTAGTAATGACTAACTAAAAGCAATAAATCTATTTCAGCCGAACTAAAGTCCAAAAGATTGGTGATGTGGGGTAGCTTTACTAGTGTTGCCAGTAAGTGGTACACTTACTACCACTCTGGTCCTGATTTCGAATTCCAGGTCAGGTCCACCAGTTACACGTCTTTCAGGCAAGAAATTTTCAGTAGCAAACAGGTGTCAGGAAAATGGCAGTTTCACCAAGTACCCAAGCAAGCAGATAAAAGCCATATGTTCTGTACCTGATTTCTCTCTTGTTGTGCCGGATTGCCATTCTATTGTATTAAGATAGTAATAGAATACTGACTACCTCTGTGTTTGCTTGTGGTCTATAATCCTATACTAATAAGACTGGCTGTCGTGACCGAAATACAGACCGAAAAACTCAATCTAGCTGTCTATCATAAGAAGCAAGGCTAAAAGATAAAGAAATAACCTACCTCAGCACTCCATCGGCGCTATAGAATTCGAATTGTCACCATAGCCACTTAAACTGCCCTGGAATTCCATACCGCTGATTTGACTGTCCGCGTTAAGTGACGCCCCGTAAAAGTCATTACTTGGAGCATGTGAGGCCTCCAAATTTGCGTCGCTGGAATCGACCGCCGCTGCAGCATCCGGCTCTGCCCAATTTATCTTGAACCTCGTCACACGGGGCTCTGAAGCTAGTATATTTCTCACAACTTTATCAAACTGCGGCTTAGCTGGCGGATTTTCGCGTAACTCTGGCTCACTTTCACTGTACTCGTTATTAATGAAATATCCAACTCTAACAAACTCCTGTCCTCTGTACGAACACGTTAATAACACTACTGTTACACCTAAAGCGTCATTTTCAGGAATACGAGTGACATCAGGTGGCGGTGCTTGAAAAACAAACATGTGTCTTCCCTCTGGTATGGGACCAACGTATATCGTATCTAAAACTTGGTCATGCTCCTCCGTTTCGGCAGATCCGACATAAATCATCTTCCACTCCAGATCCTCCTTCAGTTCTTCAATGCATTCGAATGTCAGTTCGAATTGGAAAGGATTAAGAAACGGACTCGGATTGTCTAGGACAACGACATTGGTTATGTGAACCTTAGCCATGTCGAAATGATCGCTGAAATCGCGATTATATTTATTACTTGATGAATTACGCGGCTAACTTTAATTTCTAAGAGTTGAAACGTAGAAATATTGGTTTTATTTCCACAATAACGTATTTTTTGTGTAACGGAAGAACGAAGATCGGCGTAAAGTGACAAATATTTTGGCGGTTCAAATGGTCACGTGACCAAAATAACTTCCGATAGCAACGCTCCACCCGGAATAATTCAGAACTACAAAAAATGTGACAGCTGATCTAAAGTAGAAGATTTTCAACAGGTTACTTTACATATTTTAATAAATAATAATCATAATTGCAATGAAATGATGACGGAAACACGGTACAAAAGCAAAATAATCAGTTAGAACTTACGATTTCTGCAGTCTTTCCACTTATCTTTCCAATGCTATATCACAACAACAAATGACAACAAATGTCAAAAATAACCACCAGTGTGACCATCTTTAAAATACAGATCCTGCCTTACTTTGGTTAAAAACCTGCCAAATCCTGTCAGTCTGTAGTGAAAAATACCTTTCTTGAAGAACAAGACCACCGCATCTCTCCTCCACGCCTCCGGTGTAATGCCACCATGGAGGACGGAATCAAAGAGCCTCTGAAGGTTTTCCTACATGTTTGCATATATCTAATTATGTTTCGTGTTTTTGTCTTAATTAAATTTATTTGAGACAATGTTATATCGCCTGCTGAATCCAGTCATATTTTTTTTGATGTTTACTAGTAGCGGCATGCTCTTTTAAAGCAGACACCCAGGATGCCAATTTGCAGTAATTTTTTTTATAGAAAAAGTGTTACACACAGTCCATCTGATGGTAAGTCAATGTGGTCCATAAACATCTACATTTATCTTCAATTAAGAATCAAAATGCAGATGTGTTGTCACCCCTAAAGGACTAAGATGGAATGCCTCATTTCCAGTAAAAAGGGTCTCCGGTTCTCTACACTCACCATACAAAACACAGCAACATAAAGCTGCTATTTCACGCTGGTATTCTGTGAAAGCGTGATCCTACCCCGATCGAGTCGACCCATTCGTGCTACAACCATAATACCTACCAAACTAAAATACGTCTCTTCTATGACTGATTTAAATTGACATGTTGAAATTTTTTTTAATACCCAAATACTGCCAGGTTTTATAAATCGTCAACCGATCATGCAAGAGGCTAAAATAACTGGAGAATCCTGCCACATATGGTCACACAGTATACCACTTAAAGGTCCATAGACCATACAAAGAGCATAACTAAATGATTTCTCTGTCTACGCTAAAGAATTATAGACTTATAGTCCGTTCATCTTAACTTGATGCGTGAGTGATTGGTAGCACTGTTTACTCAGTCGCCACCTTTCTTTTAGTTTGATCGTTTGCTATCTGTGTGCTCTTTAGCTCTTTAATAATTTAATCTTAGTTTTAAAAATGCCGAAAGTGGTAAAAAGTGCTAAAAGGCAAACTATTATTCAAATTTAATTTTGTGAAAAAGAAAAGGCTGAAAACAAGCTGATTGTCCCATTGCAACAAGTTCGTGCATGCCATGCGGCCATGACCGGTATGTTTATAGAGTGACCAGTTACAATGATTTATACTAACCTTTACAGTACCGCATGGTGGTGGGTCATATTTTAAATATGTTTATTTATTTCGCTAGATGATACTAAAATATTTGTATGTCAGTATATTATGTATATTTTAGTAACATCACTTACTAAAATATTAAAATTTTATAAAGTAGTAATATAAAATTGCATTTGTGTAATGATTACAGATGTATTCGAATCTACTGTAACCCGAATTTTAAGAGAAGAAAGAGAGACCAGTTCAGTTTCAAATTTGGGTGTGCCTGGTCCGTCAAAAGTAACAACACCTGGAAAAAAAACGACCAAATCGTGATAAGAAGGTCAAGATCGATGACTTCGATGCTTGTGCAATTCGACAAAAAAATATGTCATTTTACGCTGTACGAAAAGAAATTCCTACGTTAAATAAATTACTTATCGAATTACGAGATGAAATAAGTTTTGAAGGTGGGCATACTACACTATGGAAAATATTGTTACGAGCTTGGGGTTCGAGACAATTAAAAACTGCCGATTGAATTACCAAAATTGACACTTTAATTACACAACACTAATTACAATATAAAACCACACTAATAATAAAACACAATCACTTTAGTTAGCAGTTATTTCGCTTCGAAGTACTCTCTTGTATCGCCAATTCAATACTCCTTCGTCGTCGTCGTGGTCTATACCGGCCTTATATAGGGCCTCAGATAGTTTCCAGAACCTTCTACTGTAGCGACATCTAGAATGTTCGAGTACATATCGGTCCCGAAATTTCTGGAAGGATCTCGACTCTTCTAATTCTGCTACTCGACACTAGAGGGCGCTAGTGTAACTAGTGTTACCATGTACAAGACATTAATAGTGGCGCGCAACAATATTAAAACGACTCGGATATAAACATAAAAAGTGTCAATCTAAACGAAAAATGTTAATAGAGCGAACAGATATAGCTGCCTGGCGATTTAATTATTTGAATGAAATCAAAAAATATCGAGAAGAGGAGCGGACTATTGTCTATTTAGACGAAACATTTATTCATTCTTCATAAGGGATGCAAAAATGTTGGACGAAACATTTATTCATTCCTCATAAGGGATGCAAAAGTTGGAGTCTGAAGAAGGTGTATTGGTCAGAGATTCTGGTACAGGTAGACGATGGATAATTGCACACGCTGGAACTACAGACGGCTTCATTAATAATGCGTTACTGCTATTCAAGTCACAAACAAAATCATCCGACTGCCATGACAACATGAATAGCGACAACTTTATAAAATGGCTGGAAAAAGGAGTTTTACCAAACCTACCACCTAATTGTGTAGTAACCGACCATTACAACGATAAAAGGTGTTGTCAATGTCAAATCTTTATAGTGGCTGGGAAGTTAGGTGCGAGCGTTAGTAATTAAAAGAAAACTTGGTGGTGGCTCATATTACATGATGTACTAAGATAAGGCTCAAAATTTTATTAGTGACGGCTTGAAGAAGAAAAATTCGACAACCGCACAAGATTCTTAGAGTAAACTTTCTCTAAAATTCTTAGATAAACTTAGAAATGAGGATATCCGCAGTAGAACCAGAGTGACCGACATATCCCATCGGATTATTAAGCTGAAGTGGCAATGGGCCGGCCATATAGCTCGAAGAACCGACAACCGATGGGGAAGAAAGGTTCTCGAGTGGCGGCCACGTACCGGTAGGCGAAGTGTAGAGCGGCTATTTTATGGTGTGACAACCTGGTATAAGACATGCAGGAAGTTGATGGATGCAAGTGGCTCAGGACTGTGCTTTGTGGCATTCTTTGGGGGAGGCCTATGTTCAGAAGTGGACTTGTGAAGGGCTGTAATGATGATGATGATGATGGTACTTATCCAGTAGTTTTTATGGTACTTATTCAGAATTTGTGGCAGTTTTTGTCCAACAAAAATATAAATGTTATATACGATGCAATCTAATTTTTTTTTTCGGTTTTAGTTTTTTTTTTATTATGGTTTTAATAATCTAAAATGGGATCAAAAAACAGTTCTCATTCTAAACCTGTAATAGAAATTATTATAAAGTTAAAATGAGGACTGTATGGTAATTAAGTTATTGAATTTTTTAATAATGTATATATTAGTAAATTAATTATTAAATATGTAAACAAAATTATTGTAAAGTAAAAATTAATAACTAATAAAAAAAATATTAAATTTCCACATTGTTTCATTTGTATTAACCTAGTTTTATTTTCAATATAATAAAATTAATTTTGCAAGTGGCTATTATATGGGACATTCTTTGCCTGGTATTAGCTGCTTCAAATAAAAAAAAGAAATGTCAAATATCATTTTACTACAACTAATCTGGACGCAGAAGCTAAGTCGAGTAGGTTTAATTCGTGAGATATCTGTCTGATTCGTGTAGAATCTACTAGTTAGTCTGTGCAGAAGGCCTAGAACCCAGAGCCGTAAAGCCAGTTTAAAAAAACCTTAGGATAAGGCAATAAACATTTATTAATTATTAACTCATTTTCTGATTTTTCATCAAAACTTTTATGTGTTTAGTTTATCTTTCGTTGTTTGCAGTTACTCTTGGGTAAATAAGAATACATTGTTTTAATTTAGGCTAAAATACCAATTCACATTTCACATTCATTCATACTGTCGGTTGCATTATTGCTTACAAACAACTGCAAACCATTGAGATATTATTTAGTACATAATAGTTCAATGCTGCAAACATGGTTAGTAAAAGAAAATCTTTGGGCGTTGACGAGAAGGTCTTTGTGATCCGTGCAATAGAAAAAGGCGAAAAACAAATTGATGTTGGACGACGTTTTGGGTTCAGTCCTTCTACTGTGGCCACCATTTGGAAAAATAAAGAAAAAATACTTCAGGCAGAAAGAGACGGAAAATCTTCTAAGAAATTAAGAAAACCAAAATTTGAAGATGTAGATCAAGCAGTGCTGACATGGTTAAACAGACAGCGCCAAAATAATGTGTATATTTCTGGGCCATATATTAAAGCTCAGGCTGAAAAATTTGCTTCTCAACTTGGGACCACTGACTTTAAGGCTTCTGAAGGATGGCTTGGAAAGTTTACACAGCGTCACAAAATTAACCGCGGGAAAACTAATGGAGAATTGCAAAATGTTGAAATGGTTTTAATTAACGATGAAGAAACAGGTGAACAAATGATTGAATCTGTGATAAAAGAAGAAAATCTAAAAGAAGACGAACAAGATCAAATGGATGATCCTAAACCACCACCAAATATCCAACAAGCACTTGATGCAGCTAAATTATTGGGCGAGTTTTTATTATTCTATGAAGATGATCCCACTGCATCGGAATACATGGATACAATTTATAAAAAAATAAAAACCAAGTATTGGCTTAGCAAAAAATGTAAGACCAAGAGGAATTTATAGCA